AGTTTCCAGCCAACGGCAAGCTGCAATTGACCGATTGTGCTAAATAAACTGACTTTCTGCTTCACAACCACTATTGTACGTTCAAAGAGTTAAATCCATTTACACGCCGGGTGGCGGTAATATTTTTTGGGTGATTAGTGCATTCCAGTGACCTAAACGTACAGTTTCCAGCCAACGGCAAGCTGCAATTGACCGATTGTGTACAATAAACTGACTTTCTGCTTCACAACCACTATTGTACATTCAAAGAGTTAAATCCATATACACGCCGGGTGGCGGTAATATTTTTTGGGTGATTAGTGCATTCCAGTGACATAAACGTACAGTTTCCAGCCAACGGCAAGCTGCAATTGACCGATTGTGCTAAATAAACTGACTTTCTGCTTCACAACTACTATTGTACGTTCAAAGAGTTAAATCCATATACACGCCGGGTGGCGGTAATATTTTTTGGGTGATTAGTGCATTCCAGTGACAGAAACGTACAGTTTCCAGCCAACGGCAAGCTGCAATTGACCGATTGTGCTAAATAAACTGACTTTCTGCTTCACAACCACTATTGTACGTTCAAAGAGTTAAATCCGTTTTTATTTTTGGGGTGCTTATTGAATTAAAGAGTATGTCAGACAACACGCAGAGGAGTGGCAGAGGAGGCAATGTTTCAGGAGCGAGCAGACGTGGCAGCAGAGGAAGGGGTCGAGGCAGCACTAGTCGCAGCCAGAGGCCAGTGCTCCCGGTGTCATCCAGCGGTCGTGTCTCCACCGACAACCCTGCCGTCATCGATTGGTTGACTCGGTCGTCTTCCTCTTCCCAGGTCACCTCTGACACCTACAGCCAACGGTCGGTGGGTACGTCAGACACAACCGTTAGTTGGCATGGCCCGGGAGCAAGCCCACTGAAATCACGTGTCCTCGACCTGCCCCTGTCCTTTGGTGTTCCCTCACCAAACGAAGTATCGCATGCTGTGGGCTCAGCCCCACTGTACAGTGAGGAAGAGCTAACAGAGGGCGGTCAGGAACGGGGGGAGACATCCGCCTCTTCAGCAGCCAGGCGAAGAAGTACTGGCGAGGAGAGTGGCTCGGTAGCCGGTCTAGAGACAGGTCTGTCTCCTGACCCACACGCAGCCGAGGGGGCTAGTAGTGACGCGGAGACCCTAATTGATGATGATGAGGCTGATCGCACTTGGCAGCCTCGTCGTCATCAGGCTATTGCTTCCGCATCATCAGGAGAAGAGGGTGCCAGCTTGCCAGCGAGCAAAACAGTCGGTGGGTTGCCCAGGGGGCAGCAGGGTCGCAGCAGTGTCAGTGGAGCCAAACGGCCACGGAGTAGAGCACCAGCTCCACTGCAGCCTACCACCACGGCCAGTAGTGGTGCCGGTGTGCACGGAGGAAGTAGCAGTCATCCAGTGAGGAGTAGCGGGGGCAAAGTTTCCTACTCGGCGGTGTGGCAATTTTTCGTCAAGCCGCCCGAGGAAGTAAACGTAGCCGTATGTCGACTATGTGGCCAGAAAGTCAAGCGTGGCCAGGGGGCCAATGTTGGGACTACAGCGTTGCGTCAGCATATGCAGCGTCGCCATTCGGTGGCCTGGGAAAACCGTGATAAAGATACGGCGGTTCTGCCTGCCCCAGCCCCCGCTCCATCACCCGCTCCGTTACTTGCTCTGTCACCCGACGTCAATCGCCCTCTATCAGCCAGTCAAGGCTCCAACACCTCTGCTGAGGGGAGTTGTCGCTCGTTGGCATCTTCCGCTCGTTCAGATGCTCCTTCTCCTGCTACTCCTCTTCACGGATTCCGTCAGCAGTCTTTCTTGGAATCGGTTTCCAAGAGACAACAGTTTGCGAGCACGCACCCGACGGTGCAGAAGCTGAACGTCCTCCTGTCCAAGTTGCTGGTGCTGCAGTCCCTCCCTTTCCAAGTGGTGGACTCAGCACCTTTCCGAGAAATGATGGCTTGTGCCGCGCCGCGGGTGGAGAGTGCCAACCCGGCATTTCCTCGCCAAAAAGGCAGTGCCAGCCCTGCATTCACATGTAGAAGAGATGGTGGGCCAGTCTTTGAGCATGTCGGTCTCTGCCAAAGTGCACGGCAGCGCCGACGTGTGGAGCTGTAACTACGGTCAGGGACAGTACATGTCATTTACGGCCCACTGGGTGAACGTGGTGCCGGCACAGTCGCACCAGCAACTTGGACAGGTCACGCCGCTTTTGCCTCCACGTTTGCACGTCCTTGGTCCAGCAAAGATGTCCGCCTCTACCACCTCTTCTTCCGCCGTGTCCTCAGCCGCCACCCCCCCGTGCCAAGTCCCATTACCCGACCGGCATATCACATGTGCAGGGCGCAACGGTGTCACGCTGTGCTGCACCTGGTATGCCTTGGCGAACGTAGTCACACAGGGGAGGAACTTCTGAGTGTAATGAACAGAGAAATCGACAGATGGCTGTCTCCGCGCAAAGTGAAAATCGGAACCATGTTGACCGACAACGGAAAGAACATGGTGTCTGCTCTGCGTCATGGAAGGTTGTGCCATGCGCCATGCATGGCTCACGTGTTCAATCTGGTTGTCAAGCGGTTCCTAAAATCCACCATCCCACTGCAAGACATCTTTAAAATGTCACGTAAACTTTGCATGCATTTCAGCCATTCCTACACCGCAAAGCACACCCTCCTTGAGCTGCAGCGGCAGAACGGAATTCCACAGCATCGCCTGATCTGCGACGTTGCAACAAGGTGGAATTCAACCCTACATATGTTAGACCGCCAATGGCTGGTCAGGGTGCGGTAGACGTGGCGCACAGATCTCAACGCCACATGACTCCTGTGGGGGCAGGACAGGAAGAAGAGGAGGAGGTAGAGGAGGACATTGGTGCTCAGGAATTATTGAGTGAAATGGGTGGTTTTTCCACTCAGCGGACAGGAGTGGAGGAGCAGGAGCATCTGGTAGAGGAGGAGGAGGAGACAGAGGACCCAGACGCACCGTGGCAGTATGCTGTGGAGATGGAGGCAGGGAGTCCCTCGCATTCCTTGGCACAAATGGCCCATAGCATGCTCGCTTGCTTGCGTAGCGACAGCCGAATAATAACCATCAGACAGAGGGATGACTTTTGGCTGTCCACCTTGTTGGACCCTCGCTACCGTTCAAAAATGGTGGCCTTTTTCACACCTGCTGAGAGGGAGGCCAAAATAAAGTACTATAAAAACCACCTATGTAGTCAGTTGGTCTCTGCCTTTCTGCGCCAACGTCCATCCTCAGACACTGTGGGCCCTGTGCGCTCGCGGGAATTGCTTTGTATATCTGTCGCCTTAGGGGCCGCTGTCTGGTGACATAATTTTTTGTCACTGTGTAGACATCTGTTTATAGGCCGATGTTTGGCCACAAAAATATATTTAGTAATAACCTAGCCGTTCAGGCAGCTCCCTGAACACCTCGGGAATTGCTTTGTATATCTGTCGCCTTAGAGGCCGCTGTCTGAACAGCTCATGAATTGCTTTCTATATGTGTCGCCTTTGAGGCCGCTGGCTGGACAGCTGATGAATTGATTTGTATATATGTACTTATTGTCCGCTGTCTGGACAGCTCATGAATTACTTTTTGTATATAGCCTTCCAAACCACTCTCAGAATAAGTCATGATATTCATGCTGTGTATAGCCTTATAGGCCAATGGTCAATCAAGTCATGATTGTTATAGTGTGTATAGCCTTATAGGCCGCTGTCTTTACAACTTTATAATTCCATGCAGTATATAGCCCTATCGGCCACTTTCTGGCATCCAGTTGCTGTAGCCCCCATCACCACACTGTGCCACTGGCCCCTGTACCGCCTTCTCATACTGCTGCCAGATCCATCCTCTGCCATGTGCGTCTTTGTCGTCTGCTCACGCTGCTGGGTTCCAGTTTTAAACCTAGGCCTGTGTATGGCTTCCGAATACTGCTGCCTCCACCGCCACCCTGCGCCATGTGCCTCTGTCGTCTGCTCACGCTGCTGACGGCTTCCGCTTTTTAACCTAGGCCTGTGTATGGCTTCCGAATACTGCTGCCTCCACCGCCACCCTGCGCCATGTGCCTCTGTCGTCTGCTCACGCTGCTGACAGCTTCCCGCTTTTTAAACTAGTCCTGTGTATGTCTTCCGAATACTGCTGCCTCCACCGCCCACCCTGCGCCATGTGCCACTTTCGGGTCTCCTCACACTGCTGCCAGGTCCATACTGATTCATGGCCCCCTGTACCGGCTCCTCATGAACGTGGTTCAGTGGGTTTGCATCACTTAACGGCAAATCGTTGACAAATGCTGGGACGTTCAGTGTTGTGCGCATTAAGCCAGACACCAAAGGGCAGCAAAGACCTGTTATTACTCGCTCAAGCATGGCTGAACAAAACCAGTCTCTACCACAAATTGGACCCAGACCTGCCCAGAGTCTCGTAACTAGATTGCACGGAGGAGTAGAGTCCGTTATCGGAATTAAATAGACAAAACGCCACACCAAAAAGATTGGCCATTTCCAACACTTATTCCAGAAAGAGGAACAACCCGTTTCATATACGGCCCGTAGACGTTTCACGTCTGCCACATTCAGTCGATTTAAGACGCAAGCTCCACTTCCTGTGGTCTCTGACCGTCGATATACCTTTATGTGTCAGCTTTGAAGCTATATTCCCTCCGGAGCACTGACACTGGTGCCCTTCCGTCAACATGCCTTTAAGTTTTCAGTTTTCAACCATATTCCCCACAGAAGCCAAACTCTTGGGTATCCCAGAAGCTGCTCAGCGGGTCAGGGCAATAAAGCTCCCGGTTCGCAGGTTGTTCCGTCTTATGGATGGAAGTACGACGGTATATGATCTTCTTCGCACCCACGGCATCACCTCATAGAATCTCTGCATTGCATCTGCAATCACAACACTGACTTCCCGGATCGCCACTCAGCCATTGGACTCTTGATAGTCGTCTCCCCACGCTGCTGCTGGGGGGAATTTTTAACCTAGGCCTGTGTATGACCTTCAATTGAAGCTGCTTCTGCTCCGCCACTCTGCCATTGGACTCTTGATAGTCGTCTCCCCACACTGCTGCTGGGGGGACTTTTTAACATAGGCCTCTGTATGGCCTTCAATTTAAGCTGCTTACGCTTCGCCACTCTGCCATGGGCCCCTGTACCGCCTCCTCTTGCTGCTGCCAGGTCCAGAGTGTGTCATGGGTCCCTGTACGGCCTCCCATTGCTGCTGACTTCATCGCCAGACTCTGCCATGTGCCACTTTCAGGTCTCCTTACACTGTTGGTGGGTTCCATTTTGTGATAGGGTGCTGTATGGCCTTCCATTGCTGCTGCCTCCACCGCCACCCTGCGCCATGTGCCTCTGTCGTCTGCTCACGCTGCTGACGGCTTCCGCTTTTTAACCGAGGCCTGTGTTTGGCTTCCGAATACTGCTGCATCCACCGCCACCCAGTGCCATGTGTCTCTGTCGTCTGCTCACGCTGCTGACGGCTTCCGCTTTTTAAACCTAGGCCTGTGTATGGCTTCAGAATAATGCTGCCTACACCGCCACCCTGTGCCATGTGCCTCTGTCGTCTGCTCACGCTGCTGCCAGGTCCATACTGATTCATGGCCCCCTGTACCGGCTCCTCATGAACGTGGTTCAGCGGGTTTGCATCACTTAACGGCAAATCGTTGACAAACGCTGGGACGTTCAGTGTTGTGCGCATTAAGCCAGACACCAAAGGGCAGCACAGACCTGTTATTACTCGCTCAAGCATGGCTGAACAAAACCAGTCTCTACCACAAATTGGACCCAGACCTGCCCAGGGTCTCGTAAGTAGATTGCACGGAGGAGTAGAGTTCGTTATTGGAATTAACTGTGAGGGACTTTAAACCTAGGCCTGTGTATGGCCTTCAATTGAAGCTGCTTCTGCTCCGCCGCCACTCTGCCATTGGACTCTTGATAGTCGTCTCCCCACGCTGCTGCTGGGGGGACTTTTTAACATAGGCCTCTGTATGGCCTTCAATTTTAGCTGCTTACGCTCCGCCACTCTGCCATGGGCCCCTGTACCGCCTCCTCATGCTGCTGCCAGGACCGTAATCTGCCATGGGCCCCCGTACCGACTCTTCATGCTGCTGCCAGGCCCGTAATCTGTCATGGGCCCCTGTACCGCCTCCTCATGCTGCTGCCAGGTCCAGAGTGTGTCATGGGTCCCTGTACGGCCTTCCATTGCTGCTGTCTCCATCGCCACACTCTGCCATGTGCCACTTTCAGGTCTCCTCACACTGCTGGTGGGTTCCATTTTGTCATAGGGTGCTGTATGGCCTCCCATTTCTGTTGCCTCCACCGCCACACTGTGGCTCCACACTCTGGTTTTGGCCCCGTGACTGCCCAAATGAGTGAAGTGTGCGGTGATTCTAAGATCGACGGCACTCATCTGCATGTCATACTGACTGACAGTATTATTTCTCTTCCCCACAGACTCCAAGGGCATTTAAATTAAAGGTACAGTGTTCTGCACTAATATAAAGGCTCTCTGAAGCCTAGAAACACCCTTTTTATAAGTTAAATTCGCAGCGAATATATTCGGCTCGAAGCGAAATTTATGCGGCGAATTCGGCGAATCAGCCGAACTGAATTTTTGAATAATTCGCTCATCTCTAGTAGTGATATTGGTCTATAACTCTGGACATTTAGAGGATCTTTACCGCGTTTCTGGATAGTCGTAATTATGGATTGTAGCATTTCTTTGGGAATGAGGCTGTAGAGGCTGTATGGTTAAAGAGCTTGGTTAGATATGGTGAAAGGTCAGGGGCAAATACTTTGTAAAATTCATTGGTGAAACCATCGTTTCTGGTGATTTGTTGAGTGGTAAAGCTTTAATGGTTTTTTCTATTTCTGCAGGGGAAATTGGGGTGGAGATAGTAGTTGATCTGAAGTGAGATGTGGTAGTTTGATAGTGTCAAGATATTTTTGTATGGATATGGGTGTTTGGTTGGGTAGTGTCTGAGTCATTTTTGAGATTGTATACTTTTTGGTAGTATGTCGCGAAGGCATTTGCTATTTCTTGTGGGTTTGTGAGAGAAGTGTGAGTAGTTGGATGTTTGACTAGAGGGATTTTGGTTTTTAAGCATCTTTGTTTGATTAGTTTAGTTAGTAGTGAGTTTGCTTTGTTGCCTAAGGAATAGAATTTTGCTTTCATTTTTTGCAGGTTGATATCATATTATATATAGTAGAAGGGCTCTTAGTTTATTTCTATCTGAGGTGAGGGAGGAAAGATGTGGAGGGGTTGGGATTTTTGTTGTTTTGGTCTTCTTTTTAGTTTAATAGATGCAAGGAGTTGGTCAATTTGTTGGGTTCGTTGTTTTGTTAAATGTTGTCATGGGGAATTTAAGCATAGCGGTGACCACTAGATGCATACTGGGATACCTCTCATGTAGGCTTTGTAAGCAGGCCATAGTGTGGACCATAGATTCGGAGTATCGAGGAGTATTGCTGGTTGTCAAGGGTAATGTTGATTGGATAAAAAAGTCAATTCTGGAGTAGGATAGGTGGGATGGAGAGTAGTAGGTGTGATCTCTTTCCGTGCTGTGTTGGCATCGCTAAATGTTGTCATAGAGATCATTGTTATGAAGAAATTGGTTGAAATTCTGTTTTGAAGTTCGTTTGTTTGAAGAAGAGTCCAGAAGTGGGTTGCCAATGATGTTGAAGTCACCGCCTATGAGGAGTCTGCCTTGGTTTTTGAGAGGATTTTTGTTGTTTTGGTCTTCTTTTAAGTTTAATTGATTGGGGTTCGTTGTTTTTGTGATGCGGGAATTGATAAGCATCAGGATATGGTATCGACCTTGAGGGTCTATTGTTTCTGAGATATGTTGGAATTGGATGGAGTCTTTTATGGCTGTTATGACACCATTTTTCTTTTTAGGGTTCGTTGCCATGTATATATGGGCGAAATGTTGGAGGTGGAATTTAGGGATTTTGGTTGTCGCGAAGTGTGTTTCCTGTAGAAAAAGTATATCAGCATGTAAGGAGCGAGTTTCTTTCAGGAGCAGGGACCTCTTAAAGGGGAGTTTAGACCGCGAACATTAAGAGATTCATGAACAAGCTAAACAGAATTGGTCCCAGGACAGACCCTTGGGGTACCCCACGTACACTTTTAGACCATTCAAAAATATGCTATTTATCACTGCTCTTTTGATGCTCTCTTGTAGCCAGTTTTCTATCCAGGTACATACGCTATCGTCAAGCCAACAGACATCAATTTCTAAACTAAGCGCTTAAGGGGTACCTTATCAAATGCTTTGAAAACAATCTCTCAAAGATATCCTTTTTGAACATGTCTCCATATTCTATACACCTAGTTAAAGAAAGAAATAGGGATGAAGGTGGGGGGACACATCAAGTCGTGTGTGGGTGGTTGTCAACGTGCAATTGCCACGAAACGTGTTAGAGAGATGCTACTTTACCTACCACTACTACCCACATGGTCCACACCTTGATACGGGCGGCCATCTTTGGAATTGTGTATTGCACCATGTAAGTGCTTTATTTGTCTATTACTCCTTAATAAAAGTTATCACACTATGGAAGCCTCTCTTTTGGGTTTATTTCTGAGCCCTGAAGGTGATTCCTGTTCCTTGAGCGCACACCGCACCCCTGGAGGTCGCTGACATAAGGATTCCACTACATACCGGATGAGCGTTTATTCCACTGGACACCTGGTAATTCCATAATTGGAGAGGACGCAGATGATTCTGGTGACCACAGCAGAGACGACCACCACTCCGGCAGGTTCCCTGATCCATTGACCAGGAGTAGGTCATTTTACTCCAATGCGCTACTATCTGCGCTATCTGGTTAGTGCATTCTACAGCTACACTTCCTACCACAGATGTCACAGATTTATTTACGTCACTCCTATGATATATTGACTTTGACACCTATATCACCATTTACACCTTCTTAACCATGAGAATGTTGTAGTATTGGTTGCTTAGACCATTACCTTTATGCTAGCTGCGTTTATACCTAGGTTAAAATTATTCCCCCAATCATTGGTGGTCAGTGGTCCTTTAAGCATTTGACGCCCGGCCAATAGCCATATGGCGTCCGGAAAAATGTACTAGCTTTCCGGGAGGTCGCCATTTGGCATACTTCTGCACATGCGCAGTTCGCACGCTTGCAGAGCCGCGCAGCGGCACGATCTGTCACCGGCCGTGTACCTCGGACACGGTCGATGACAGATCTGAGTATCGGCCCCGTTGCCGGTACCATGTGACCTGCTGTGACCAATCACAGCAGGTCACATGACAGTTGTATACAATGGATGGCTTCATTCATGCCATCCTTTGTATACTAGTATCTAGCTGTGAATGGTCACAGCTAATCACATGCACATGTCATGTGATTAGCTGTGGCCAAATCACAGTTAAGCACAAAAAAAACAAAAAACCCTGCATGAATCGATTTCATTCAGGTAAATGCTTGCTTATAGCAAAGTAATTCTTTGCTACAAGCAAATTGTGTAAAAAAAAAAAAAAATACTGATCACTTCCCCAAAGTAGTACAATGTTACTATGGTAACATTGTACTACTTTGGACATAGTGAAATATGAAAAAAAAATCTTAAAAAAAAGAAAAAAAAAAAAATGTAATAAAAAATTTAAAATAATAAAAAAATTAAAAAAAAATAAAAAAAAAATATTTATTTTATTTCACACTGTCACCAGTCAGTGTCCCTGATCACCGCCATGCCAGTTTTATGATGACGCTGTACTGCACTGGTGACAGTATGTAAAAAAAAAAATAGTGAAAATAATTGTTTTTATTTTTTCATTGTCCGAAAAAATTATGACAAAAAAATTACAACTTCAAAAAACTCGCCATGCCTCTTCTGAAGTACGTTGGACTGTCTACTTTGCAAAAAGGGGTCATTTGGGGGATATCTGTACTGTTCTGACATTCTTGGACCTCAAGAAATTAGATTGGCTGTCAGTACTTCAGGATTGATCAATTTTCAGATCTATACCATAGTTTGTGAACTCTATAACTTTCCTACAAACTAAAAAATACATCCTAATTTGGGTTATTTTCACCAAAGAAATGTAGCAGAATACATTTCGGCCTAAATTTATGAAGAACAATTATTTATTTGCAAACTTTTATAACAGAAACAAAGAAAAACGTGTTTTTTTTTTCAAAATTTTCAGGTTTTTTTTTGTTAATTTAGCAAAAAATAAAAACCCTGGCGATGATTCAATACCACTAAAAGAAAGCTCTAGTTGTGTGAAGAAAATGATA